GAGTCATGTGACCGTGTGACCATGGAGTCATGTGACCATGGAGTCATGTGACCGTGTGACCCTCCAGATGTTTTGTTTCCAGACTCACCTGTCTGAACAGACTGTTGTAGAGCACACAGGTGACCGTCTGAGCGTGGCTGCTGCCTCTCCTCTCCTCCTCTACGCTCTCCAGCAGAACCAGCGTGCTGTTGAAGGAGAGCAGGAGGAGGTGGCGCTCCTCGTGGAGGTACATGAGCGTGTGCGTGTCCTCCTGCGTCCTCGGGAAAACCTCAGAGAGACGGTGAAGACACTGCTGACTGGACACGTCCCACAGACACAGGACCTGGAGAAACAACAGTCATGAGTGTGTGTGTGTGTGTGTGTGTGTGTGTGTTGTAGACACTACAGAGCAGCGGGACTCAGAACTGTTCTGTCGTATGACTTTGTGGGTTTCCTCTCAGGGCAGATGGTGTTTGAGGAGGAGGCAGATGGAACATAAATCACTTCTAAAATATTTATTCTCAGAAAAAACACAAAGAGAAGGAACACAAACAACCCCCCCCCCCCACACACAGAACTCATCTCCTCCACAAAGGAAAGGCTAAAGGTAACATGGCCTTATTTTCCTGCCCCCCCCCCATCTTAGCCGTGTGACGCAGGCAACCAATCATCTGCACCGCAGCCTCCTTCCCCGCAGTAATTACTGAGAGGTATCACAATTAATATTACAGTCAGAGGCCTCTTCATCACTACATTATCTTTGCTGAGCAGAGCACACACACACACAGCACACACACACACACACACACACCTTATCTTTGGAGTAGCTGAGCAGTTGTTGCTTGGTCTGCAGGAAGCGAACAGCGAGGACGGCGTTGGCGTGCCCGCTGAGCGCACACAGCGGCTCCGAGGTCAGGTACGGGTTCCACAGCAGGACCTGATGATCCACGCCCGCTGTGGCTGCAACCAATTAAACACATGCTGAATTAGCAGAGGTGAGAAGAGCAATTAGTGAAGAGCCCCCAACCAGGAAGTGGGGGCTTCACAGCCGGAGAGAGACAGGAAGTGGTTTTTACACAGAGACAGGAAGTGGTTTTTACACAGAGACAGGAAGTGGTTTTTACACAGAGACAGGAAGTGCTGTTGGAGGACAAAGAAAAATGTGTCTAATCCCAGAACTATGGAAAACAAGAGGAAGGCTGTCATGACATCACAGCCACCAAACAGGACGTTTCTGTGGGACGCGTCGTACCACAAGACCTGTCCCTCAGTCGGTCAGTCAGTCGCTCAGTCAGTCAGTCAGTCTTTCGGTCAGTCAGTCGGTCAGTCAGTCAGTCTTTCGGTCAGTCGGTCAGTCGGTCAGTCAGTCAGTCAGTCAGTCAGTCGGTCAGTCAGTCAGTCAGTCAGTCAGTCGGTCAGTCAGTCAGTCAGTCAGTCAGTCGGTCAGTCAGTCAGTCAGTCAGTCAGTCAGTCGATCAGTCAGTCAGTCAGTCAGTCTTTCGGTCAGTCAGTCGGTCAGTCCCTGACCTTACCCATCAGATTTAGACCACGGTGGTGGTCCAGGTCCCACACCCCCCTCTTGGTGGAGAAAGACGACACCCGGAAATCCCTGCTCTCTTTTTCCTTCCAGCCAATCACCATGCTGCTCTGTGGAGCGGTGCTGCACGACACAAACGCCTCCAGTGAATCCAGGTAACGCACTGTGGAGGTCAGAGGTCAGAGGTCAGAGTCTGAGTTTGTACAGTGGTGACGAGAGGCAGAGTGAAAAAAAGAAAAGAAAAGAAATCCGTATATTGATCCGTGTGAGTGACTCTGGATTATTGATCCTCCAACATGAGCTCAGGGAACAACACACAACAACAACAACAACAAGAGGTGTGAGTGAACGCAGAGAGAACGGAGGACCTGGACCTGGAGAGGTGTGAACACAGAGAGAACGGAGGACCTGGACCTGGACCAGGACCTGGACCACAGTCCACACTGATGATGAATCTTGATGACAACTTCATTTCCTCTGGTGTAATGAGATCATTCCCGTCCTGCAGCAGAGCTCTGAACGGCCTCCACTCTGTGGAACGGCGGAGCCAAATGTGCGACGACCCCCGACTCTGCTAAACCAACCGATCCACGGGCGCCCGAGCGCCACACAATTACCCCGGTTTGATTTGCTCACTGGTATTACGGAGAGTGTAATGGATCTTGCATCAGCATCTATCTCAATTAGCGCCGTGACTGAGAGCAGCTGAACTGGACGTCACGCGCCTCCATTAGAAGCTGCTCAGCTTTCAGAAAACTGCAGGCTGTGAGACGAGGTGTGACAGTCGTGGGTCAGAGGTCGGCCGCATCGCCGGGGCAAATAATTGCGTCTGATTACATTTCATACATAACATCTTCTCTCTGCCCGAGGCGGCGGCGGCGGCGTCACGTGGCCCGTAGTTGATTAATGAGGAGTTCTCTGTCACTGGAGGAGCTCATCATCAAACCTGTGTTTGAGATTCAGATCCTGATCCACAACATCTGGAGGAGAACTCTGTGTTCCAGTTCTCCTTCAATCACACACACACACACACACACACACACAGACAGACCATAATATTCCAGTCAGGCTGAACCACCTCAGTGGTCACCTGATTACCCACTCCTGACCAGTGCCCCCTCCCCCTCCCCGGGTCTCTATCAAAGATGAATCTGGATTCACAGCCTCAGTGAAGCCGTTACCATAGCGACAGGGACATAAAGAGATGAGACGGTGACCCACCTTTTCTAACCCAGGCTGGGGCGTGGACCTGGTGGGTGACCAGGTAACAGCAGCGGTGTTTCCCTCTGACCAGCTCGTCCCACAGGACGATGTCCACTGAGTCAGAGTCCGTCCTCAGACCAGGACGTTCAAACAGAGAGATCTGAGCAGAGGTGAAGTGGACAGCACTGACCTGTGAAGACAGGTTGGACAGGTTCACGGCCACGGACGGATGGCACAGACACCACTGACAACGCCCCCCCCCCCCCCCCCAGTGTGTTACCTGCCCTCCGATGTCTCCAATGGTGAGGACGGCCCGGTCCGGCTGGGACACGTCAGCCCAGTAGTCCATGCACCAGGGGGTGAACTTCAAACCCTGAAACAGTTCCACAGAGTCTGTTTGGATGGCTCAGACTGATGACATCACAGTGGGAGGGGCTTCGTACAGCTCTTACCTGCAGCTTGTATCTGCAGCTGAAGACCTTCTCAGACAGAGTGTCGTAAAAACACACCTCTTTACTGGTGAACGACACGGCCATCTGGACAGACAGGTCAAGAGCGAAGGTCAAGGTCAAGGTCAAGGTCAAGAGTGACTCAGTGGAGTGAAGTGATTCCTCTAACTAGGGCCACATGGTGGCAGACACGGTTAGCAAGAAAGTGTTACAAGTTGTTCCAAACGGACTTGTTTCCTCGTTGTGGGACAAAAATGGAAAATATTGAACATGATGTTAAACCACCTGCCCATGTGCATCCCTGGGAGCCGCCCCTACCTTTGGGAACCAGAAAGCTGGGATGAAGCGGTAGAAGGTTAATAAAGAGACATCTGAGCAGCGATCTGTCAGATCTGTTAGGGTCAAAGGTCATTGGAGACGTCAGAGCAGTTAAAAGACGTCACTTTCTTTTATGTTTAAGGTCTTTGAAGTGTGCCCCTGGTGGTTGGTTTGATATGAACAGGTTGGTTCAAAATCTGTGTGAAGATAAATGTTAAACAGCAGGGACAGAGCTGGGACAGGAGCGCTCTCCTCACGGTGCGTTCACTGTCACGCCCTCTGGGTGTCAGTGAACGCACCGCTCCGCTCCTTCATCACCGCTGCCTTTCATCCAATGAACAAAGACTGTGGTCCAACACCAGCGACAGGACGTGATGTCAGAAGGTTCACTCTAACTGAACCGTTTAAATCACTGATGTTTGATTGATGATTTATTTTTCAGAGACGCTGCCGTTTGTCTCAAGTCGGTGGTTAATTATTGAATGTTAATGTGTGTTTACCACGGGCTGAGACACAACTCCTGCCAGAATTTGACATTAATTACCAGTGGATTAATGATCAATTTCATTTAAGTGCCATTTCCCTCCAAAAACAACAATTCGTTTTCCATAAACCGATGATAAATGAAGCTGAAGTTGGGAGTTTTAAAAGTGAGCGACCTTGTGGACGTTGGGCAGCAGCACGGCGTCGGTGGCCCACAGGTCTTTGGCCGCCACGGTGCCGTTCTGCAGTCGATGCGTGTGCACCAGAGACGTGTCCTCTTTGTCCCGCAGCCCCACCGTCCCCCGTCTGCTCATGGTCAGATACTGACCTGAACTCTGCAGGTACAACACCTGAGGAGACAATGGACACGAGGGGACACGAGGGGACACATCACCTCTCACTGCTGTGTGTGAGTGAAACTCTTTGGATTGAGCCGATGATAAAAAGTGTCCGACCTTTTGAACGGGGTCACGGTGGGGGCAGGTGATGGAGCGGGGGGGCTTCCAGCGGGGCACACTGTGGTTCTCATCCCTCTTCATCTTCTCAGAAAGCTCCAGCAGCAGGAAGTGGCACAGTCCCGTCCAATCAACACGGCCCTCTGCCTTGACTGCGTCCAGGTCCAGCAGCAGTCCACGCTGCTCCTGAGTGACCACCACGCCGTCAAACAGGAGCCCGTACTCCTCCCTGGAGCCGTGACCCACCGAGGACCAGGCCAGGTCCACGAAGTCAGTTCTGGACAAGGAGCGAGGTTCACCACAGGGGTCCTGGACCGAGGTCAAGAAGATGGTGAGACGTTGAAGCAGCGAGCGTCCTGAAGGACTTCAGAGAGCAGTGACGTCTGTGACGCAGTTTATCAAAGTTCACTGATGAGAAACGGCTTTGATAAAAAGGTTGGTAATAAAACAAATCACCAGGAAAAGACTCTGCAGCTTCCTGTAATCCTCAGCACTCAGCTGGCTCTCCAGCTGCGTCACCTCCATCCGTGTTCCCATGGTTACGGCTCACCTGTCAATCAATCACCGACACGTGAGGAGTCGGAGTCTGTGTGAAAAGATCAAGTCAAACTAAGAATTCCTTACGTTTCTTCGACCAGTGGAACACAGTGACCACCAGAGCAGCAGCAGCAGCAGCAGTAACAGCAGTAACAGCAGCAGCAGCAGCAACAGCAGCAGCAGCAGCAGCAGCAGTAACAGCAGTAACAGCAGCAGCAGTAACAGCAGTAACAGCAGTAACAGCAGCAGCAGCAACAGCAGTAACAGCAGCAGCAGCAACAGCAGTAACAGCAGCAGCAGCAGTAACAGCAGCAGTAACAGCAGCAGCAGTAGCAGCAGCAGCAGCAGCAGTAACAGCAGCAGTAACAACAGCAGCAGCAGCAGTAACAGCAGCAACAGCAGTAACAGCAGTAACAGCAGCAGCAGTAACAGCAGCAGCAACAGCAGCAGCAGCAGCAGCAGCAGCGATTTAAAGCTTTGATGAAATCATATAAAAGTCATAAAAACAAACTTTGATTTCTCACCTACATTTACAGAGAACATTATTATAAAATCACCTCTTCTGTTTTTAACTGTATTTAAATCAATCCATGGATGAGCTGACATTTAAAGGACAACCTCGGTGGTGAAGGCAGATTCAACCGTTGTTTTTTGTCACAGACGAGGATTGGACTGAGACACAGTTAGACACAGTTAGACAGTTAGACACAGTTAGACACAGTTAGATTGTGTCGCTGTAACACGACGGAGGAAAACGGTGGAAACAAGGACAGAGTCTCTTCACACGACAAACATGGCTGACCTGCAGTTCCCTAGTCTCTTCACATGACAAACATGGCTGACCTGCAGTTCCCTGGTTGACCTCCAGGCCTGACGTTAACAGAAACACTGGAAACAGAGACTGAACACCAGTGACAAAAATATATCCTAGCTAAGTGGATGAGCGACCCCTACTGGTGAAGAAAGTGATTCTTTACAACCAGTTCAACCTTTGGTTTAACGTACGATCACGTTTAGCTAAAAATACAAAGAAGGAACTCTGAAGAAAATGTCCAACAGAGAAAAGACAAACTCACCCAACAGTTGGAGGTCAACACCGTCAGTGACCACAGCCCAGCGTCCACCACGTCCTCGGCTCCAGAACCCTGAAGAATCTTCAGTCTCCGTGTCTGTGAGGGGGCGTGGCCTCGGCCGCTCCGCTTCCTGAAGCAAAACCTTTATTTTTCCCAAATTCCCAAAGTCAGCGACGTAGCAGCCAGTCACACCAACACAGTTGACTGTAGTAACACACACACACACTCACACACACACTCACACACACTCACACACCCACACTCACACACACTGAATTGTTTTCTTTTATTATCCCTCTCTTGTAAAGACTTGGGGCGAAGTTTCCCAGCAACCACGTCGTCAAAAAGAGTCTAATGAAACAAAGTGTGTGTGTGTGTGAGGGTGTGTGTGTGTGTGTGTGTGTGTGTGTCCTTCCTATTCACAGATTAAGCTCTGCTGAGACCATAAGTAAGAAACAATACCAGTTTCACATAAAGACAACAATGAACCAAAACACACACACACACACACGACTGATTACTTCCTCTGCACTTCACTACACAGGAGCAGCGGGCTGCATTTCACTGCTCATAAATGTGTCCACACTTTGGCTGAAATGAAGAAACTCCTGTGAACCTGGACCTGAAAAAAAAAACCACCCCGGGTTTATGGAGCCGTAAAAACACGGGGGGGGTAAACAGAGAGGGGGGGTAAACAGAGAGTGGGGGCACAACGTCCTGGAAACATCTGACATATACCCTGAAATGTTCATAACCAGGAGAATTAACAAACAGATCAACCAACCTTCAACCATCCAACCAAACGTCACGGTCATGTGACCTTTCAACCCAATTAAACAGATAATTAGACGTCGAGACAAACTTCAACCATCCAACCCAACGTCACGGTCATGTGACCTTTCAACCCAACGGTCATGTGACCTTTCACTGTAACCCAATAACTTGACAGTGGAATCACAGCCTTTTTTTGAAGTTATTTTCCAGCCGTGGGTTTCTTTGAGGACCAGTGAACGTCTTTGTTTTCCCAGCGTGGCTAACACTTCACACAGCGTAGACGATATCATCTTTCACTGCTACGCTGACCGCCTCAAATCCTGGCCAGCGACTTAATGGTCTGGAATGCCTTGAATGAGCTGATTAACGCGGTCGTGGACGGTGACAGGATCAGAAAATTAGGTCTCAGCAATTTCAATAATAAAGCTTTAAAAATTAACTCTATTACAATTGGATTACGGCCGTGCACGCAGGAGTCGGCGAGCGGCGGGCTGAAAATAGTGCACGGCAAATCCACCGTGGAAAATCCCACCATTATACAGGAGAAAAATGAAGCGACTGCAGTTGGTGTGGATCTTAACACAGGAAGGAGAGAAAAGTCGGAGGGAGGAGAATCAAAGAGCAACTGTGTGGAAATGAAGTGGGTTTTGTTCAACAATGGAAATCCTGAAAGAAGACCAACTTTTCAGAAGTGAAGAAAGAAAGTTTGGATTATTCCAACACACTGGACCAGTCCTGGGGGGCCATTTTATTAGGAGTCGTATTGGTGTGAACGAGACAAGAGACAAAATGATATTTCTATTTAAATACATTCATGTAAATGCTGAGAAGATTCCATTTAAATTCGGTTTCAAACTTCGCCACAAATTCCTCCGTGAGTTTATTAAAATTCAAATCAGTTCTAAAATGAAAGGTGACTTTGTATTGTCTTTGTCTGTTGGTCTGGATCTAGATGTTCTACACATGAAATATTCTCCTTCGTCCTCCTTCACCTGCCGTGCTAATAAATCTGAGGTCTAACACAACAGCGCCTCCTGTGGACAGTTGGAGTGTCTGCTGAATCCTCAGATTTGGTCACATTTCTGACTGAGACAAACTGGAGCCTCACATTAAAGTTACTGAATTTTAACTGTTAAAATTCCATTTTGACCAACCTGTTTATTTACAACATTGTCTAGAGTGAAAAGTTCGATCACATTGATTCACCAAGAAACCAAACAGTTTAATTATAGATGGTGGATTTGAGGCCAGCGTCATTCTCTTCAACTACTTAAATAAAAAGTCCTAAAACAACAACAACAACAACAACAACAACAACAACCAGCAGCAGCAGCAGTTTGTTGTCAACACCCTCTAAACTCCAAAGACATTTTATTCATTATTTTAAACCCAAATATGATTTTTAACCTTGTCCCTCAAAGCTTTTACTGGCAAGGTCGCCACCGTGTGGACAAAGACAACTGACCCAGACAGCATCGTGGTCTACGTTTGGTCTGCGACCCAGATATTTGTTTTTTCAAAACAAGAGGGAAGCAAATGGGAACAAAGCAAATGTACACATCAGTACTACAACCTGTACACACTACTGCAGTTTTTTAACCTCCTTCATGGTTTAGGTGCAGTAAGTCAGTGAGTTAATGTGTTAATAGAGTTAATCTAAAAACCTAAACAAGTTTAAGAAGTTTTGAAAAACTTGGCAAAACATATAAAGACCCTGGAGAAAAGATAAATATTGAAATGAATCAAAAAAGAATGATTAAAAAACATTGACTTCTGGACTGAACAGAAAAGGAGGAGGAAAATAAAAATCTATGGCAATTACTGTCAGTGTTGTTGATCCTGAATCAGAACCGACCTGATCTCACCTGAGAGCTGCGGCGCTGCAAATTAAAGCAGAAACGTTCACCTCCTCTTGAATAACAATGTCAGTTGGTGTGTGTGTGTGTGTGTGTGTGTGCGCGCTCTCAGGCTGCTACTCCACGCTCTTGAAGGCCTGCAGGATCATGTTGGTCTGGTGGGCCAGCTGGTTGGCGCTGACAAAGACTTTTATCATTCTGGAAACAAACGGTGACAGAGACACACGAGTGTAAACCACACAACGTCAACAACCAGGTGACAGTGTCAACGACACTGATCCGTCTGAGCAGGCACAGAGGCTTCTGGGAAATCTGAGCCAGCATGAATCAATGGGACTTTATTAATAAACACTGGATCAGACTGAAGGGAGTGTGGGATTTATAGGTGGAGTGGACCGTCCAGACGCTCCAGTCCGACCTGGTCTGATGACCGACTCTCGTACCTCCATTAAAAAGAACTAAAAACCAATTCATTAGTTCCACCCCCCCCCCAACCCCCCCAGAAATAAACTATTGATTAATTAAATGAACCCCATCTAAAGATCAAACACACAAACATAAACAAATATATTGATAAAATAATAATAGTTAGGAAAACATTTTATATTATTGTTATAAAAATGGGAGACAGCGCCACACAGTGTCCAGTGTAAAAATGGAGCTGTGTTGACCACTGGTAACTGGCTGTTTCCTGGTAATCGTTATACTAGTGTGTGACCAGTGTGTGACCAGTGTGTGACCAGTGTGTGACCAGTGTGTGACCAGTGAGGTTCCATACTTTCCGTCCTTGAAGTAGGTCTTGAGCGTGTCGCTGAAGCTCTTGGAACATTTGACAAACTCCTTCTTCTGCTGCTCCAGGGCCTGGACACAGACGACAGAGACAGCCTTGAGGCTCAGGTGTTCCTGTTAGTTTGTCTTTCTGTCCTTTCTTCCGTTCCTTACCCGTCTGTTGTGATACTGGTGAGTCTTGAAGACGGCGTTAACTGTGTCCAACAGCTCCTTTATGGCACTGGCGATGTCTCTGTGGACGACACCAGGCGACAGAGAGACATGTTTCAAATCTGTCTGTTGTTATCAAACACTGACCACACGTTTTTAGATGACTAGACCATTAGACCATTAATAATATTATCATCAACAACTGTGTGTGTGTTTAGAGAGGGATTTGATATGAGTGAAATCATTCCTAAAAAAGATCAAACCCTCGAATGCTGTTTAAACCACTGCTTTATTTCTGGAGAGTCATTTTGAAAAAAAAAACCCCCAAAAAAAACCCAAAAAAACACTGAGTTTTAATCCAGTATCAAATGTTTAAAAGGTTACAACGTGAACTCCCATTCGTGGTTTAAAGCTATGACTCCATGAATAGACACGATCTTGAAGTGCTAATAGTTTTGACCTTGGCAGTTAAAGTCTTTTGGCATAATTTCTTTCCTGTATGCAAAGTAAAATGATTTTTTTTCCAGTAAAGTGCCTTCAGAAATAAATCCCTTCTCTCAGTAAAGCCTCTGCAGTATTTGATATTTTCCTGGTTGACTAAGACACATTCTCAGTCCGTGCTGCTCAGTGTGTCCAGATGGGTGAGAAAACTGGAGGTACAGAAGTACGCACCGATCCCCAGAGTGTGGTTCTGGCACCTCGGAGTGACCTTCAACTATCTCAAGATTTTCACCACGAGCCGACCCCCCCCCACTCACTCACTCAAAGCTTCATAAAACAGATTAGCATGGACTAAGTGTCGCTGCCGTCCGTCCTCTGATTCACATTCAGGTGTCGTGTGTTCAGTATTCACTGGACGGAAACTATTGTTCCACGGATGAAACCAGGAGCCTCATCACAGACACGCAGACACGTGACACGCAGACTCACTTGATGGTCTGTAAGAAGCCCACTCTGTCACTGATCTCATCTGGTATGGTGCTGAGGAAGTGTTTGAGAGTGCGGGCTCTCTCATTTAGCTCCTGAAATTCTGGATCTTTCCTGGCAATCATGAACTCTGAAAAACACAGGGGGGAGAGATGGGTGTGGGGGCGGGGGGGCGGAGAGATAGAGCTCTCAGTGTCAGGCGAACAGCTACAGGAGACACTGAAATTGAGCAATTATTAACAGGGACACAAGTCTCTATCACAAATCCACCAAGTGTCTGTGTGTGTGAGTGTGTGTGTGAGTGTGTGTGTGGTCTAGTTACAGCCATCTTTGTGGGGACATATGTTTGGGTAAAATGCCTGGTTGTGGGACGACGACAGTATTGTGTATTTTGAGGTTTTGTTTGGTGTTAGAATTAGTATTCAAGCTGAGCTTTGGGTTAGAGTTAGATTACAATTAGCCACATATCTGTAATAAAGTTGGGGTCAGGGGTCAGGGAATCTATTACTAGGAGAAGCTTCACGACTCATGAGAACCAGACTATGTCCGTGTGTGTGTGTGTGTGTGTGTTGGAAGTCTGAATTCATTACTTCCATCCATCACTGTACACAGAGCACGAGGAATTCAATTACAAACAGAAACGAAGGAAGGTCTGAGACTAGAGTGGAGAGAGCTGGTTGTGTGGAGAAACAGCTACCCCCAGTGGACTATCGAGTAACTGCAGGTCAACATAAACCTGCAGCGGGCTTCAGCTTGTTAACGGTGTCCTTATATGAGACAGTCCCGCCTGTGATTGATAGCTAGAATAAAAAGAATTCCCCAGTGAAACCGGCGGTGACATTTGGTTATGAGGAAAAGAACTGCAGTCAGTTTGACTTTAACTTGAGTCTACAAATAACAGCTCACATAAAATACAGCAGTGTACCTCCCACATCATCTGCAGCCATTCGAAGTAGAGATTCAATATAGTTGACCTTTAACCTCTTCTTCTCCAGTATTTTCATCACAATGTCCTGGGTCAGACCTGGGTTCTCCTGCTCCGCCTGAACACACACAAACAGAGGAACAAGAGTGAGAACAGAGTCGTGGACTGAAGGACGACGACGGTTCTGTTCTGTTCTGTTCTGTTCTGTTCAGGAGGAGAAACCAAACTCACCCGGACGAAGGCTGACTTCAAATTCTGGGCTACTGAAGAGTCGACCTGCTCCAACTGCAGTTCACAACAACACACACACACACAGATGAAGTGACTCAGATGTTCTCCACCACCACCTGGTACTTACACTGTTTTCTGTCTGTTGGCCATGACCTTGTATGGTGCCTTACTGTAGTATTTTTTCCTACATATTTTTACAGACATATAATCTGTCTGTTGACCTTGTATGGTGCCTTACTGTGGTATTTTTTCCTACATATTTTTACAGACACAAACTCCAAACGTCTATGATTCTCATCCATTTATCTTCCATCTTCTGACAAAGGTCATGGAGGAAGTTGGAGAGGATCCCAGCTGACACAAAGCAGTAGGCGTGCCCCCCCCCCTCCCACTGCCCCCCAGGACAGAACAGTCAGACTGACTGACTGTCATCACCTGCTTAAACACTGGATACATCACAGAGTAGAGAGCCATGGAGACGATGGACGTGGCGTCCGCCTCTTTCTTCTTGTCGTCCGTGGTCATCCTTGACCGATCAACTGCTCTTACTGCTCTTTGGGCGTGTACCGCTGCACGGATGCCAGTCTCACTGCATCCAATCAATCACCCGGGCCGACAGAACGGGGGCGGAGCAGGACCTGAAGGAGAAGGAGCAGTGACAGGTGAACGAGCAGGGAGGATGGATGATGGTGGTGGGAGGATTGAAGAAGAAAAAAAGTCATGTGTCGTCCCCCAGATTGTGGCAGGTCTAATTACTTCACTCCTCCACGTTCTAATTCTTGGAAGGTCTTAACTGATATGAACTCATCACAGCTGTTCACACTGAGCTGAACTCATTCCACTGGATGTAACGGTGACAAAACTGGCATGAGTCACACCTGACAACAAACAGAACTAGGGTGGCAATAAAAATGTTGCTGAAATAAATATAGAAACTTGGCTTCAACACTGGAGGAGATCTCCCTCTCAACCTGATAAACAGTGACTCCTGGTGGTTAAAACAAGGAAAGATGGGACTTGGCCTGTCTCATTCACTCACTTCCACACTATTACCCCCCCCCCCCCCCACCCCCCCACTTACTCCTCCTCACCTCAGAGTGTGTTGACGTGGTGTGACACTGTGCCAATATCAAGTCATTTGTTTTTTGTTTATTTCCAGAGCAGGACACACAGGAAGACAAATGTCTGTGGTGCGTTTGGATGACTACAATGACTGAGGTTACTATTACAATTTATAATAATAATAATAATAATAATAATGTTTCATTAAGTCTAAGTCAAATTAGAGCAGTTCTATTAATTAGGGACTAAGATTGAGTTCAAATTGAGTCAAAGACTGAGTCTGAATCAGAATCCTGTGTCAAACTGAACACTGGTTGATACAGTGTCCACCATCAGCACCTTCTACAGCACACGTGCACATTCACAGGGTCAAATCCACAGGGTCACAGGTCATGTGTTCATCCCCACAGACATGTCACACCATTGTCTGTTCCCTCTGAGACAAAGAACTGGAAACACACACTGTCTGAGTCAGAGACAACACCTCAGTATTTATCTGGGCGTAGATTTAACTAATGGAGCCACAGTACTGTAGTACTGAAGACTGGGTGTATCACTACTACTGCATACAAGTCAGGGGAGAGAGAGAGAGAGAGAGAGAGAGAGAGAAACTCGGATTAAAGATTCTCCACCTGCAGAAACAAATGTTTCCTCTGTCACTGGGGATTGTTTGGAGTTAGGATTAACTAGTAACAAACCCATGCAGCAGATTAGTGCAATAACACAGGAATATAATTAAGGCAGAGACAGTCATTAACTATTAACAAGGTTTCAATTAACCTCCCACAAATGAATGTTTAACAACCTGTTCAACACATGAGCAGGTTTAGTTTAGTGGAAATGAACCGTCCAGAATAAAAACAAAACGTCTTTTTAAACTGTAATAAATAACAGTTTAATTTTCCTTATCTATTATGGTTTTTGCCCCTGAGGTGTGGTCACACTAACACGCACAGCCTCCGTCCATGGATCAAAATCAAACTACAACATTCACACACGTGACCGTAGTGTCAGTATTCAATGGTTAAAATGACAGAAAAGAAAAAAAAGTCCATCATTTTTAACAACTCTTTGTGTTATTTAGCTCCTGTCTTCACACAGAAAGAATTCTGATGGAATTGGTGGTGAGTTGACTGTATTTCAATACAAAGGTCGGTCGCTTATCTCTATGATAATAACAATAAAGTCTGTTTGTGTAACAATCTGATGACAACCGTTTTGTTTTGTTTTTTAATTGTGTCTAACCTTTAAACTGCGTTTAGACCGCACCCTGCAGGACAGGAGGAAGAGTGACCAAAGTTACTCTGCCTTCAAGTCACAGAACACCTTTAAAGTGTAAACATGACCGTCATTCAAAAGTGACAGTAAAATAAAAGTGTTCTAAATCATTTTACCCTAAGAACATGAATTTATACGTATAATAGATCAAATAAATGTCCGCAGGACCGAAGTTGGACGTCACCTGTCGCCAGATGCTGCTGCTGCTGCTGCCACCGGTAACTACGTAGTTCACCCCGCAGATTAGATGGATGTTTAAAGGCCAAACATTAAGCTGCCGGTGCTGTCGGTCTGATTACCTGCGGTGGAAACAGCTGTCAGAGGGCCGAGGAGAAGCGGTGCAGCACCGACCTATCAAACCGGAAGCGTCGGTGTCGTTGGCCGCTGGACGTGTACCGTAGGAGAACGACCGAGTCCAAAGACAGAGAGCGCGGGCGACTCCTGGGTTCAAATGACAACTGAGTATGAAATAAATACGGTGTAAATGAAACAAATGTGCCGCAGATACAGTCAGAATACAGCCCTG